AGAGCCTAGTTAGGCCAGGTCACCCATGCTGACACAGCTGTACCAATGGAATTTTTAGGACTCTCATCAGGGGCCTAAAATCATTCATTTCCTCATCAATTGTCCAACCAGCCTTTCAGAAGGACTTAGGATAACCACAAGCAGTGACAGTTAGGGAACTGAGCTGGGAAGCCAGGAAATGAGGACAGAGGTCAAGGTTTAGGATTCTGGGGTGGCAAGAGCAGATCAAGAGCCCTGGCAGTGCAGTGGTTAAATGGCTGGCTGCTAATAAAAAACCCTAAAGTTTGAACTCACCTGCTGTTCTACTGGAGAAGGACCTAGAACTCTGCTTCCATTACTCTTAGAGCCTTGGTAACCCTGTGGGGCAGTTCTACTCTGGCCTACAGGGACACTGAGAATCAGAACTCACCTGATGACTTTTTGTATTTTTATTTTTAAAATGATTTTGCATTTTTTGAAATGAGCAGATCAAGTACTGGCACATGCTCAGGGTTGGCACTTTTTCCAGATTTGAGTTTTATGCTATTTTCCTGTTAGTCCACAGCTTTTAGATTCTAGTTCCCTCTATGAGTAAGCAGTTCAGAGTAAAATATGTGAGGTTGCTATTTCAACTATCAGTAGAGTTCTTCCAGAGATGATTGTGTTCATCTGATAAGAGTATTCAACTTAACAAAACTGATGAAAAACAGAACTTGATTTATTTGATCCAGGAGTTTTACACAAAGCTTGAGGTCAGTTAGGTGTTAGACAGAGACACCTACTGGTGGAGTGTAATACTGCAGCTAAGCTCTAGAAAGCATCTCAGAGCTCTAAAAAGGCCTTCAATTCGTTTTCAGAGGTTGTAAATTGGAGCAGAGGAGATAGCCCAACTTTCTGTTGGAGAACCTGGTGGATTGGAACCACTCACCTTGAGATGGATGCATAACTTCCTACTCACTAGCCCACCAGAACTCCCTCAAGTAATACTCAAACATTGATCAGATGGTTAAATCCTAGACAGCACAAAGTGAGAAGATTCTAAGGCATTCTGGGTCCAGAAAGAAACTAGAGAACAGAAAGATCAGGGGAAGGATAAGATCTGTCAGTTGTTGTGTGCCATCGATTTGGAACTGAATTTTAACTGATTGTCCAGCGAGTTTTCAGTGGCAGTAAATCACAGGGGAGGAGACTGTCTATCCTCCCATAGAGAAGCCAGTAGATGCGAATTGTGTGCCTTTGGGACTGCAAGTGCAGCTTCTTACCACTAGGCCAGCAGAATTCCCTTTTTGACAGTTGTTGTGTGCCATCTAGTCAGAACCAACCTAAAGCTGCCCCTCCAACAGATTTTCAGAGGCAGGTAATTGCACAGGAGATTACCAATCCTTTCGCCGCAGAGCAGCTGGTGGATTTGAACTATGCGCTTTCAGGATTTATTTTAACATTGAGATGTTGCTGTTATTAGGTGCCAGCAAGTCTCCTTCCCACTAGAGCTCCCATTTGACGGTGTTATGTGTCATTAAGTCGCCTGTGACTTATAGCGACCCTATGTAAAACAGCTCTGAAGCCTGCCCTGTCCTGACCCAGTCTCACTGACTCCAACACACCAACCCCCTTTGCTCCACATACTGTATCAATCCATCTCATCCTGAGATGTCCTGCACTGTCCCTCTACCATCCCGAGGATGATGTCCTTCTCCAAGGACCATTTTCTCTTGGCCATGTGCCCAAAGTATGAGAGACGGACCTTCAAAAATCCTAGCCTCCAAAGAGAATCTTAGTGTCACCCTCTCCAAGACAGACCTATTTGTTTTCTTGGTGGTCCATGGTATGTTCAAGACTCTTCTCCAGCACCACAACTCAAAGATAACGATTCTTCTACCATCATCCTTAGTCACTGCTCAACTAACAGATGCATAGCAAGTAATAAAAAGACTATGGCTTGGATTAGGTGCACTTTAGTCTTTAAACTAGACATCATTCTCTAAAGAGAATGATGTCTAGTTTAAAGCACTTTGGAGAAGGCCTTGACAGCAGATATTCCCAATACAATATGTCTTTTGCTAAACATACAGATTGAATAGGTGTGGAGAAAGCAAAAAAATAAGGTTAAGAAATAGTCTCAGGAGGTATAGTGTCTGATCTACCACAGCCATATTCTATTGGGGAATTTTTTTGCTCATAACATACTTAATTTTAAAACAATGAATAGTTGTAAGATAGTGTCTGTTTCTCAGAATTTCACTATGTTGCCAGTCTTGTTGAAAACATCAATAGCAAAAGTGTCACTAAGTAAAAGGTAGAAAAATCAGGAAGGAAGTCAGACAGTCTGTTAAGTTTTGGTGGAATGACTTCTTCCTATAGAACAGGAAGAAATGAAAATGCTGTTAGCTAAAATCTGTAGGTGCCAGCTAGTCATGAATGGGACATGCTGGCAACAGGTATGACGTCTGCTTCACAGTCAGCATTCTGGGACAGAAATTCCAGGACTCGACCCATCAGCCTTCTTCCTTTAAAAAGTCAATCAAAAAAGCTGCTTCTAAAACTGAGCAAGTGTACGAAGGTCAGATAAAAAGTAAGGCTAATCCCAGCAAGGGTTCTTAGTCTGAATAAGAAAGATGCTATTTTCCACTCCGTTGAACTATAAATAAATCTGTCCCCCATCATTGCAAGTCAACTGATGTAACAGTGGTTACCACAAATTAGGGCTTATTCTGTCTCTCAGACAAGTCTCCTCATAAAGCCTGTTCTGACCGGGCACTTTTCTTTTCACAAACCAGAACTGCCTCTTTTTTTCCTCTCTCTCCCTGACCTGTTCTTCCAGGGAAAGAGTCTCTGCAGGCTCCAAACCAGAACCCTGCGGCCAGCCAAGAATGACAGGCTCTTCTTCTCTCTTCTAAGAAACGTATCATTATCACTGAGGCTCAGGAACTATTTGCAGCTTTAGCAAGATACCAAGGCATCGGTCAGTACCCACTGAAGCAGAGAGCAGAACTGGAAACAGATTGAGTGGGGAAAGGCCAAGTTAACTGCAGATACTATACTCAGAGGCAAATAGACCCAGTTTCTCTCCAGCCTTCCTTCTAAGAATGACCAGAGACCCTGTCCCTAGAGGGCAGCAAAAGGCCCAGAGGTATTATTGAATTTGGAGTTACTATTGATGCTAGTCCTGGAGAGAGGATGAAAGGCACCCAAGCGTAGAGGACTCTCCTTCATAGGGTCGCTATGAGTCGCCTGTGACTCGACGGCACTTAACAACAACATTGATGCTAGTCAGGAGCATCTCTGTGCTTTAAACAATGGTAGTTGTGCTGTTGTTGTTGGGTGTCAGTGAGTCGACTATGACTCCTAACGACCCCATGAATGATGGATCTGAATCTCGCCCCATCCTGTGCCATCCTTATCTTACTACTTGAGCCCACTGGTATAGTCACTATGCCAATCCATCTTATTTTGGGATCTTCCTCTCTTTCACTGACCCTCCACCTTTCCAAGTATGATAATTTTTTCCAAGGACTGCCCCCTCCCAAGAACGTGACCAAAGTATGTGAGATAAAGTTTCACCATTCTTGTATCTAAAGAATTCCCTTATTACATTCTCTCAAAAACATGTCTGTTTTTTCTTTTGGCAGTCCATGAGGCATTCAGTACTCTTCTCCAACACCACAGCTCAAAGGCATCAACTAGTCTTCTGTCACTCTTATTCAGTGTTCAACTTTCAGATGCATAGTAAGTAACTATAGAGAACATGGCTTAAATGTTCTTTAAACTGACATAGCTGCAGCACAACAATAAAAACAACAGCAAACATATCCCTTACAGCATACCAAGAACTATTTTAAACTAAGGTTTACACATCACAAACTTTGTTATATTCCCACAAATGAAAACACAATCATCACCCCCAGGCCGCAGCAAGGACACTGAGGGCCAGGCGAGGAGGCATCCTTTTTCACTTCTGAGATCTCTGCTTATTGCTCTCAATCCCTGTCAATTCCCTTAAATTTCCTGAGGGTCCTGGGAATATCTGAAAGAACTCAGAATTCCAGACTCTCTGAGGACTACGCTGGGTCCAGGTGTGGTTTGGGCTGTGGCTGTGGCACATGTGAGATGACCCTGGGTCCTTACAGGCAGGAAAAACTGGGCCCCTGTTACTCTAAATTTATAAACTGCAGGTGTATAACAACAAGTCACTCTTTGGTTCATACACAAGCTCCCACCATTTCCATTACTGCTGTTAATAAGAGAGTCATGTTGTGCAGGGAATGGAAAGGCTATAGGGAAGGAAGAGAATTTGCCTTAGGGAGGGGAGGGGAATAAGGACTAAGGACGAGAACAGCTTATGGCTTAAAATAGCACTGTTCAATATTCAGACCAGTGCAGCGGAGGCAAGCCAGGGGTGGAGGGCAGCACAAATCAGGCCCAAATCTCCTGCCCATTTCCACTTCTCAGTCTATGCATGACCCTGTTCATTCTTCAAGACCCAGGGCCTCCTTTTGAGTCTCTAGAGAAGAACACTCTTAGCTCTGAACTATTACATTATTTTGTATCATGATACAAAGGCATTTTACACAGTTTGGATCCACCAGATGCTCTGCTGGAGAAGGAGAGGCAATCTACTCCTGTCCCAGTCAGATCCAATTCGATGGTACACAACAAGAAAAAGGGGAGAAAAAGGCATTTTACATCCTGTGGCATGGTTAGAAAGATGTCTGTCTGCCATACTCCACGGAGGCATTTTCAGAGAAAGGCAGTCTCATCTACTTTGCAATCTTTTGATACAGAATGAAACAACTTCAAATTCCTTTTCTGGGTGAGAACAGAATAGAGTATCAACCAGTCAAGCATCCACCCGTCCACCTGACCACCCCTCCCTCTCTCCCTCCCTCCATCCATCCTTCCACCCACCCACCCACATCAGCGCATCCTCACTGTGGTGCTGAGGGCCCGGCACATAGTAGGTGCTTAGTAAGAGCTTACTACACCTTGGATGAGTAGTGAAAAATGGAAAATGCCATTCTTACCTGACTTCTTTTTTCCAATGTGCTCTCTGTAGAAGAAAAAAAGTAGGGTAGGAAAGACTAGTAAGTATTTGTTATGTACTGACATGAGGTATTTATTTCTAACATTTTAAAAATTGTAATTTGAATGAAGGTTTACAAAGCAAATTATTTTTTTCATTCAACCATTCACACACATTCTGTTTAATAAGACATGAGTTATTCTGTTAAAACACAGATTCTCAACCTCACGACATTATAACACCCAAGCCAATTCCTCAGGCACAGAAACCTTAATAATGAAAAATCCCTTTTCATTTTCCTCCTTTGACCAGTGAATGCCTCAGGACCCTGGGAACAAGTGCCTTTGCTCTATTTGGAGACATGTCTGATTTTTTTTTTGACATGTCTGATTTTAAGGTCTGGGATTTTAATCACCAAGTAATCATGGTCTCCGTGCAATTGTGGGAGAAGGGTTGGAGAGCTTAGCTGACAGGAACCTGAGGCTGCTCGCCCGTGAACACAGGATGGGAAGCAGCAAAGCCAGGCAGGTGGGCTAGGCACCGTGTCCTCTAGCCAGACGTTACCTCAGGGGGGGGTCACATGCTGTAACTTTTGTGTGAGGAAGGGTGAGCTAACAGGGGAATACCCCAGCCCACAGCTCTGAGTGCTCCCTGTGCACTGGGTCTCAGCCAAGCATCACATCTGACCCAAGACTGACCCAAGGAATCCTCACAACCACCCCCCGAGGATGACTCCATTTGACATATGGGGGAAACTAGGGCTCAGCAAATTAAGTATTCTGTCCTGGATCTGAGCCCAAGAAATCTGGCTGGAGCCCATTCTCTTGATCATTACCCTTGACTACCCTGGGAGTGAAGTCCTCTTCATGGCCATTATATGCAGGCCACACCAAGAAAGGTTCCTCAAGCTTGCTTCTGTGTAAAGCATCACCTCTCAGAGAGAGCACAAAGCCATGGCCGAGGTACTTCAAGCCCAGGGACTGACTCTAGAATGTGCACTTGCTAGTTGTTTAGACTGCCCCAGCCCGAACGCAGGCACCATGAGCTTTCAGGCTACAGCTGCAGCAGCATATTATAGGTGTGTGAAACGACCATTGGACATTGCCAAATTTTTCTCTACAGGACAATAAAACCCCTCTCTACAAGCACTGTTCAAAACTCATTATTTCCCTACCTGGGAACTAGTCAAGAAAGACCCTCCTTCCTCAGCTCCCATCCCAAATCCCAACGTGGGTGTGCATCTGGGCCTTTGCCTAAGAGACCAACTCTGCTGAGCAGTGACTTTGCTCTCACTCCTTGGATTAACAACCATGGTCCAGCTGAGAGTGCCAATCGCCTGCTTCTGCCCCAGAGCCTATTCGTGGGCTCTCGGCAACTTCTCCACCTTCCCTCCTGATCAGAACCATTTCCTTCAAAGCCAGACGTACAGAGAGAAAGGTTTACCAGGTAAGCACTCCACCTGCCTGACACAGCCCCCTGCAGGCAAAAGCCTCCTAACCAAGATGGGGGCTCAAAACCCCCAAGCTCACTGCCATGCAATTGCTCTGACGTGGAGCAACCCTCCATTGCGTCTCCTAGGCAGTCTAGAGATATGTATCATATAGTCTATGAGTAGACTTCTTTCATCTTAATAACCTTTCTATATTTCCTGGGAACTCTGAATATATACCAAAACCCAAGCTCAAAAAACAAAAAACAAAACTCAAAAAACAAACCCCAGACCACTGCTTTTATTCTGATTCTGACCCTCTGCCAGGTCTGAGGCTGTAAACCTTTACTGGAGGAGACTGCCCATCTTTGTGCCTTGGAGCAGCTGGTGGATTTGAACTGAGAAGAGGTGAGCCTTTGGATTAGCAGAACAACTCGCTAAGGATTACACCAGTGGAGTTCCTGAGCAGTGAGCTACATTACCCAATCAGCCTTACTCATTGCCTTTCGAGCTACGTCTGACCCATGGGTGCCCTGTGACAGCAGCACCAAGCCTCAAAGGCTCTCCTTGGCTGTAATCCTTGTAGAAGAAGAGAAATAGTATTTCTTCTTGTGAATTGACAACCCTTCAGCGAAGTGAGTTAGGTGGTTAGCTGTGTCTATTTAATTAATAAGCAACTAGAGGCTCAATTGTCCAAGGTCACACAGCTTCCAAGGGCCCTCTTGGAACCAGCGGCCTGGACTCTAGTATGATGCTGGCTGGTTCACGTCACCAGCTTCTTTGGTTTTATGGACACTGTCTTGGTACAAAACCAGGTGGGTTTTGTACTTTCTGGGGATGTTGTGTGTGCACGGTTGTGCCGACACATTCACGCAGCCTTTCCCACAGGGCAGAAGTTGCCTGAGGGCAGGGGGTATTTCTCTATTTCTCCTTTGCATCCTTTTTGAGAACAGGATAGCAAATAATCACTGAGCACTACAGAATATGGCATTATTACTATTATTAATCATATTTTCATGGATGAAGCTGGATGACATCTTCTAATAGATCTTCTAAACTCAGAAAAAAATTTAGGTTCTCATTCTATGTAATGAAAATAAATTCTAACTGGTTTAATGAGGAGATATTAATAGAGCTTCCTTGTAGAATACTAGAAGCAAAAACTAGAAAAAACCCAGAGTACTTCTCTCCTCACCGTTCTCTGATTGATTAGAGCAAATAAGATTGAAAGCAACTGAAGAAAGCACAAAATGAACTACGGTTCCCACTCACGACTTTACAAATCATAAAACACCAACCATAAAATTCAGAACAAAACATAAATTCTAACAAAAGGGGCCAATATATACCCTACAAATGGCAAAGACTGATCACCTTAAGGTTGAGAAAGCCCATACAAATTATATAAACGAAACACTAAAACCAATGGAAAAGTGGAAGAGCAGATCTTTCCAGCTACAATTCGAGAAGACTTCAGAGAGGTCTAGACACTCTTACTCAGTAACCGTTAAACCAATACTGTGAAGATTGACTGCTTCAGTCTATCCTGGCTCAAATGCCCACCCTCTTGTCAGAGCCACCAGAGACTGGGCTTGTTTCCCAGGGGCTCCCAAGCCAGGTGGTTGTCAGGGGAAATAGGGGTGAGTATTGGTGAAGTACTTGTGCTGGCTCTGTCTTTGTGGTAACTGACTTGGAGACAAGAGGGAGGCAGAATCATCTGGAAGGCCTGGGGTGTGGCACTGATTGCATCCCCTCCCTCTTATGTCTTGGAGGTCATAAGTAAAGACTGGTCATCTCATGTGAACAGAAGCATTTCATGATTGTACCCATGTCTTTCAAGAAAGCCAATAACCAATTATCTTCTCTTTGACTGTTTCACACAGCAGGAGGAGGAAGAGTGGTGAAAATCACTGTCTATTTACTATGTGCCAGGGACCCTGCTAAATGCTTCACATAGTACGTCCAAGCTGCACCAAAACTCTGCAGGCAGAATTAAGTGTTATTTCCATTTAAGAAAGGAAGAAAAGGAGTCTCTAGAAATAATCCCAACAAAACTCTAACCCTAGGAAATGGGGACAACCTTTATAATGTCCAGGATTTAAATCCCAGGGATTTAATCCTAACCTCCAAGAAACCAACTGTTGATCACTTCCTAACCTTCCTACTCTTGACTGGATTTAACTTTTCAAACCTAGAGTTGCTATAATCAAGGATGCTTTAGGCAGAATATTAAATGATGCAGGAAGTATTAAAAGAAGATGGAAGGAATATACTGAGTCATTGTATCAAAAGGAATTGGCAGATAAAGAAGAATTTAATGAAATAACATATGAGCAAGAGCCTATGGCGATGAAGGAAGAAGTTCAAGTTG